ACTATAACCCCATCCACATTTCACACCAGCGTATAGAACTTTAACCGCGTGCCCACAGCTCAAGTTCATCTCAAATGTACTGCCGAAATTGGGTGATGATACATGATGTTGGCATGCCATCATAGATCACTACAAAACAGTCATAGAAGGGCATCCATGACAAATCCAAAACACATCATGTATATCACGTCATTGATTAACCCAGTGTCAAAAATTTCAAACTATCACGTATTGAAACATCTATGATTTTTCTTGGTTGTCACACCAGATCTAGACATGTTCGCCCGTACACACCCGTGCATTTATGGCAGTCTAGGAGTGTCATAGATTCAAAAATCATGGTAGACAATGTGGATATGACATGGCAGCCCGTGTAGTAATCGAACCAATTAAGGTTTTGCACCTACTCGTGTTATTCAATATGTCTTTAGCCCACTAATCTCCATCCGGACCATTAACACATTTCATTCAGTCCATGAACGTATTTTGAAGCCAATATGATTAAACAAACAAGAAAAATTACACTCTACATGAAACTTTGACACAAGACACCTGCCTAGGAGCAAAAGAAAACAAGGACCAAAGAAAACTTAAATTCTAAAAAAGTCCCTATAGATTTGCATGCTCCTCTAATACAATAGTGACCACACCCTCCACCATTGCGCATCGCTCACCAGAGGTCCTCGACGGACTATTCCTCCACGATGGAGGCCACAATATTGGTCGCCTTGATGGTAGCATTGTTTGCCATCTTCGCATGTTTCCGTATCACCTCGACCATCAACGGCCTCTCCCATTTATGTGACAGTTCTGTCAGGGATGTCACCTCCAGGATAGATGCATCGTGATCTTGCGAATTCGTGACCAGTGCACATGCAGTAATGGTACTCCCCGTTTGGCAACTATGAAGTTTGAACCCCAGTGAACATTATTCATCATTTTCACTTATTTAGACTACAACTTCTTTTAACTTCGGTATGCGCAAATACACATTGATGTGCCAGCAATGTTTATATTTTCTATTTCTTGAAATACTAAGTTACGACACCCTGCGTAGTACTTTACAGATAAATTTGTATTTAACATTCTTTGAACTTTTTGATACATGGAACATAATACATCATATTGTTAGTTTCAAAGTTATGACTTTTTTATGAATTCATTTCCTATCATTTAGGTATTAAATTAATATATTGCTATGAGTTGCCTTATTTAACCTCCGAGTTTTGCATTGGACATAACCCGTCGAATTTGTGTTGTTGAAGATGGTCGTCTCAACCTGCTACCACATTGGTCAAGGATTATAGTTCTATTGGTAGATTGGCATATAGTATTGTTGGTTGATCGAATACAGCTTGTATATTACTCTCATGGTCTCAACTCTCTAGTCATTTATCAATACAATGATAATGACGTATGCATATGTTTGAGACTGTATTTTTGTGCACCCAATCTGATGCAATTCTTCACCATTATCTGCATTCCTAAATTTGTGTTTGAAAGTGGACAGATAGTTGACACACCTTGTTGGTTTGCATGGAAGAAAAACAAGAATTACATGTATATTCACTTGACAGTGTACGAATTGCTCCATGTGGTTACTCTAAGGTATTAGTGTCATGCCCTGCAGTGCCGGTGATCACGTTTTTAGAGTTGGGTGGTGTCATTCCGTGCTTCTTTGCCATGTCCTAGCTCAATGTTATGCAATTAGACTTTGACCTTACCATGTTTTTTTGTCATTACTGATTTTACGTATATATCTACAGTTGTTGCATTTCTGCATCAGGCCTTTAATAATGGCTGAAGGGCCGTTGGACTTCTGGATTAACTGGGGGAGCCAGATCGGGGTTCTCTTGAGCCTCGCCTTCCAGGTCATCCTCCATCTCTTCGCCAATGTACGTCGGCGTAGTAGCTCAGCTATGCTGAGGGTTCCCCTCTGGCTGGCGTACCAGCTGTCGGACATGACCGCGATATATGCTGCCGGCCAGCTCCTATACAGCAGCAACACACCGCAAGACCACCAGCTCATTGCCTTGTGGGCGCCATTCCTCCTGCTGCACCTTGGTGGCCCGGACAACATCACCGCCTATGCCCTCGAGGATAGCAAGCTTTGGAAGCGTCACTTGCTGATCCTTGCGGTGCAGGTTGCGGGAGCCGGATATGTCCTCTATAAGTACATCGCCGGCAGCGGGATCTTGCTCACACTGGCTGCCATCTTGATACTCGTTATTGGTGTTGCAAAGTATGGGGAGAGGACATGGGCACTCCGGGCGGCCAACTTCAGCATTCTTCAGAGCTCAATCAAGGCAACAAAAGAAAAAAGCAAAACAAAGAGCTCTCTGATGACAAGCAAAGAAGAAACCAAATCAAAGAGCTCTCTCAAGGTACCAAGACGTGACCAATATTTTTATCAAGAATGGTACAACGACTTGCCAGACGAGCTCATCCTACAGCGTGCTCATTCTCTATTTCATATTTGCAAGCGTGGGATAGTTGATTCAGTGGTCGAGATAGATGTCGCAGGTACCCCGAGTAAGGTAACAATCCAGGAACTTAAGAATGACCATGAGAAAATGTGGAGGGTGATGGAGATGGAACTCTCCCTCATGTATGATATTCTGTACACCAAGGCAAACGTGATCCACTCTTGGTTTGGCTACTGCATCCGTACCATCTCGCCGCTCACTGTCATTGCCTCACTCATGTTGTTCAGGTTGAGCAACAAAGATGGTTACAGCCGAGTTGACATTGCCATCACGTACACCTTGTTGGGTGGTGCCTTGGTCCTAGAGACGAAATCGCTCCTCGGTGCACTAGGGTCGAGCTGGGCGCTTGGCTTCTTGTGCGCCACACGATTGGATTGGCTCCGGCATTCATCTCTGTGCACCGGAAGATGGTATCGGTTACGGCGCACACTTCTTTCTCTTCGCAGGTCCTGGCCTGGCAAGATGATTATGACAGGAGGCTCAAGGAGGTGGTCAGGCATCATAGGTCAGCATAACATGTTGCGGTTTTGTGCTGGACAGGTGGATCCTATGAGTCGCCGACTCGAAAATCTGTTCATGGTGCTTGGACTCGGTGAGTGGTGGGATAGGAGGTACTACTCGTGCACTGTCGTTGTCCCGAAGAATGTCATGAAGTGTGCACAGAAGGTGGGCAGGTGGTCACAAGATGATATAAACACAATGGGCGTGCTCAGGCATAAATGGGGTGAAGCAGCACTGGATAACAGAGTGTACCATGAGCTGTACAAGGAATTGGAAAAGTATCACGGAGTTGAATTCCATGAGAGCATCATCTGCTGGCACATTGCCACCGATTTGATCCTCGCAAGGGTGGAAAAGGAAAAGGGACATTTTGCAGCTGATAGCAGTGCGCAGATAGTCAGGGCACTGTCCAACTACATGATGTTCCTCCTCGTGAACAGCCCCTACATGCTACCAGGCCTTCCTCAAAATTGTCTGTACAAGCAAACCTGCAACAATCTGGACAAGATATGCGATGACTATAATCTTGTCGGCTCTCTGGGCGACAACTTGTGGACTGTGCTCAAGAAATTGCTCGGATTGCATCATCACAGGGTATTGGAATCTTCTGGGCTTGAGAAGAAGCTCGCTGACGTCATACTGGAGTTACCGAAGGGACATGCAGGCTCTGGCTCTGAAACTCCTCGACTCTTGTATGCACGCCGTATTGCTGTTCTAATACTTGAGAGTGAGGTAGTAGATGATAAGGTGCGTCTGCTGCTAGATCTGTGGATCGACTTCCTAGCCTACGCAGCCAACCGGTGCATTAGGGAGTCACATGCCAAGAAGCTTAGCACTGGTGGTGAGCTCATGACCATCGTGTGGCTTATTTTGGAACACCTCCGCTATTTAAAAGAAGACCCAAACAAGGAGGGAAGCCATGTATAATTCGGTGAATCGACAAAGAAGGCACAATAAAGGGCCAGGACCATGCGTAGTTTCACTCTACTGATGTGTTCTGTGCTCCAGAAATATTTTCACTTTTTGTAGTATGTATCTTGTAAGCATCTCTCTCTTCAATTCAGCATCCAACTTTAGTTGTTACCTTGTTTGTGTCTTCTTATGGAGAATACTTTGGAGCACAAAACGCCCATCAGCGTCTTAGTTAGGAGCAATGATTCAGTGAACAAATTGTGTTGGGTATCTGTACAGGGTTTTTGACGGAGCGATGATCCGCGACCAAAACTATGAAGAAGTTCAAAAATGGATTCAGGTCCCTAGGTCCGAGCTGTGGGCACTAGTATCTACATATCAGTTGTGTGATTCATTGCTCTCCTGTATGTATTAATTAAGCTGTTGCATGCTAGTGTTAACAGGGTGAAAGTACAGCATGAAAGAAACTGGAGATCACAACAGTCATCGATAGTGCACTCACAGCAGCAGAAATCACCTTGCCATTGATTTTGGGTCATGGTTTGGTAGGGGGGACAGGGATTATGCACTGACAGGCAGTATATATTTTTGTTTTGTTTTCTTTGACAATGGTCTGTGATCAGAATTATATATGTAGGCCCAAATAGATGCAGCTGTGGAGGCTTGAGCTGTGCTCAGTGTATCTGCATGTTAGTTGAGCATCCTTGATTACTAATTCTACTCAACAGGGTACATGTTATCACTATGTGTATCTCATAGCTTGCTTGCTTGAAATCCCTTTTATTTCGTTGCAGCAGAGGGGCGCATGCGAGGAAGCTCGGCAGCGGCGGACCCGGTCCTCTCCGCCGATGGCCGTTCTCCGGCTTTATGTAGAACGCCAGCGGCAGACCTGGATCTAGCCTGGCCTGGAAAAACACACTGGCCAACCGCATTCCTAGCAACATCAGAAGGATCTAGAGGTTTGTTTGGTAGTACAGCACCGTAGTGGGCTCTGCTCATCTGCCTCTGTTTTTCACTTTTAGTTGCTTCACAAAAAACTTTCAGAAGAACCTCTTCTGATGGCCTAGTGCGCATATTGTTTCAGCTCAAGAAAACTGGCTATTTTTTTTTCTGAAGAAAATTGTTAGCTCTCTGAACTTAAAGCGCATTGGTGCTGCTCTCATCTTGCAGGACAGAGCACTGAAGGGCTTGCAGAAATCATATTTATATGCTATTATCAGTTTCAGAGGTGCGGGGCTAATATTTTAGCCCTTTTGTCTGGACTTTTTTTGTCCGGGTAACAGGACTTCTAGACCATATAATAAACCAATGAGTAAACACAACTTGCTGAAGATATTTTTGGTTGAGTGAACTTTTCTTGGAAATGTGCAACTGTTTATCTTCAATATTTTTGGTTGAGTGGTGGCTACCAGGTTATGGATTCAATTGTCTGAGACACTTTAACGTCACATGTGTGCTAGATATGGGACACTACAGTAGCACGCTCTTTTGTCAGTGAGGAAACACAGCCAGCAGTTCTAATTACTAATTATTCTGCTGCAGTGACATTGAGTTTCGGCGAATACAGTGGACTTGGATTAACTGGGTCTAGCAAAGGGTCATGCCAAATTTTGCCAAGGAGATGGGGGCTTATGTACAAGGGTTCTATCTTGCTATTGCACTTGGGGGGAAGTTGAAATTTAATTCCTGGAGATTTCTGAAGGTACGTAGACTGCACCGCTGCTGAAAATTAATCGTAAAACTGAGAAAGGCTGAATCTTTTTTTTTTTTTGCGAATGAGAAAGGCTGAATCTGAGAACAGAGATGAATAAGTCTTGCTTTTAGTCTCAAGGTATGTTTTGATGCCATCTTTTCAGTCTTAGTGTCGGTCTTCCAGGATAACGGTATTGCAGTTACATGATCAAGTAGGAGCACAGGAAATAAAAAAAGAGGGCGAGGGTAACAACACATCGAGCTGGCACACAGTCGATCGGTTGGCGCCACCTCGATAGCTGCAGAAGGAGACCATTATCTTGAATGCGACATAGGTGAGCAGAGAAAAGCAAGGGAAGCAAAACAAAATTGTAAAGGTAGGTCGAAATGTGATGACCTTCACATGAGCGACATGCTGGTGGTGACTGGTGACATATGGGATGAGCATCTTTAACCGTTTGTGATGAACATATCTTTAGTAGTGATTATTCATCTGGAGAGTAGATCACGCAAATTTTGTAAAATTACTTCTGCACAAATTCTTGAAACAATCTTCAAACATAATGGTTCTCCATAGAGATGTCTAGCACACTAGTTTATTCAACTGCATACAATATGACATCAACAATGAAATAGTTGGCTTAGGGAGTGAATGTACAATCTTCCCACGAATTCGGATTAGGAAAGACATACAACAGTAACAAATGCATACGCAATTTGGATAAGGTAAATGCAACAACATGACCAAGCTTAATATGACCAGCAACAAACTTTAGGAGAGAAACTTGAAGAGTAAATATGAACTGAAGTGTCATTTTGGTGCATCGGCGCATCAAACTGAAATTATTCTTCATGTTGGTGGCACACAGTTTTGCCTCATCTCTTGCGTGAAGCAGAGGATGTTCATTACTGGCTTTGGGTCACAGCCTCGGAAGAAGTTCCCTTGCATGTGCTTTCGGCGAAATAAACCCTTGGCCTTTCAGGATGACTCTCTGAAGCTGCTTTCCAGCTGCGCCTTTCTTCATAATTCAGATTAGCATACAGATACACTTCGCGAAGATTATGGAAGTGTTTGATGATTGTTGGGCGCGGCAGATTACCATCTTTCACAGAAAAGCAAATGCGCCGCAGGCTCGGAAATTGCTTATTTTGCAGGTCGAGGAGACTTAAGTCATCTTCACGCAGCTTTAGATAAAACAGGTCGGGCAATTCACTTAGAGCGTATGCAATATTCTCCCCAGACAGACCTGTAGATGAAAGGCACAACCTCTCAATACCAGCAATCTCTGTGACAAATTGAAGAGGGAATTTTGTCAGCTTGCCACAAAGTTTGAGCGAGGAAAGCTTGTTGGGGCATTTGTCATATCCTTCTCGGATATTCTGATGGTTTTGCATCATCTCAGTTTCATTTCTGGAACAGGCATCCTCAGAGAGTCAGAGGGGGCACCTTGTTTGGGCTCTTGTATTTCTTCTGTCTGCTGCTCTTGGATATTGTTTTTGATATTCATGATTTGATTGCTCGTACTGCCAGCATTGCTTCCGAGACATTGATTTGCATCTCCTTCATGTGTAATTTGAGCCCCTTGGGTATTATTGTCTGGAATGTTCACATTTTGTTTAAGGAAATCCAAGGATCGTTCTGCATGTTCATGTACGCATTCTGAGAAGTCAACTGATAGTGAGCGACCAACATTGCTTTCGAACCTGCTTTTTCTAATGAATTCCTTGATGCCTTCTGTTAGATGTTCCAAGTTTCTGGTATCAGCGGCGGGATGGATCCATATTTTCACCTTATTCAATTGCCGCATATGACCTATCAGTTGCGGAAATGCTTCGCTCTTGCCGGTGGTGAATCCTCCAAGGGTATCCAACTTACATTTATTCCTCACGAACCTTTTCAGCTTTTCCATTCTGAATATGCAGTCCCATTTGGACAACCGAACTTTCCCAAGAAGGTGCGTTAAACTGGGGAGCCCCAAGACTTGCATGTACACTGTCACTACATTGGTTCTGCTTAGATCGAGTGTTTCCAACAGTTTAAGCTGCGCTATTTTCCTTGGAACCCGAACAATACTGTCCCCGAGGCTCAGATATTTCAGCAGCAACAGGTCACATATAGTTTGAAGATGTTTTCCTTTCATACCGGCACATTCTTTCAAATCCAACACCCGAAGTATTTTATACTTGGCAAGAACCCCTTTGTTCCCACACAAACCATTGGCAAGATCCTTCGTAACTTCTGGCTTCTCAGTGCCGAATACCGCCAGAGTATGGAGATGGGATAAATCATCGGGCAATCTCTCTTCTGCAATCCCAGTTTCTGTAGCATGGATAGAAAGCCGGCGGACATATCCCTTTCGTTCAAACCCATTGTCCATCACATCAGAGAGCACTGCCATGAATTCCTCAGACTTAGATCTGTGGAAAATGTACTCGTACATTAGACTAGAAGCTTTGCATCCCTTCACGTCACCCCGCGTGCTCACTTCCATGGGCTGAATGATACTTCGGTCGATGAGTCGCTCAATGTGCTCTTCTAAATTAAATTCCTTCCTGTCAACATTGTGTTTCATTCCTTCAGCCAGCCATCGCCTTATTAGAGAATTCTTCCTGACATGATGATTTGGTGGGAACATGCTGAAATAGAGCAAGCAATCAATGAGGGTAGGAGGTACGTTAGTGCCAGATAGACCAGCGCAGGTGCTGGCTAGCACCCGTTGCATTTTCTGTAACGTGCTTGTTTCGTCATGTTTTGCATCTCTTCTGTACATGCTTTATTGTCCAGTTCAGTTCCACTCAAAACTTTTGCAGTGCTGATCAGAGCAAGAGGAAGGCCGTCACATTTCTCCAGAAGTGACTTCAGTGAACTTAACTGCCCCATCTCCGATGGCTTTTTGCATTGGACGCGTCTAGGGAGCAGCCGTGTGCTCCCTAGCGTTTCCTGGCGGCCTGCCCTGATAGGCCCCGAAAAGGTAAGTTGTCCCCCCTCGATCAGAAAGGGGACGTTCCCCCGCGATCACAACCTGCTCCACCACCCCGACTCACGTGATTCTTTTCCATCCTACTTTTCTCCATCCCCACCTCTCCTCCCCTCCTATTCCCTTCCAGCCGTCCCAAAAGAGAGACATCTTCTTCTCCCCCAAGAAAGAGGCAAGGTTCATCCTGCTCAGATCTCAAAAGCTTCAAGCCTGCAATACGGACGGCGTCCATGAAACTGTTGATCTAAACACATCTAGAAGCAGCAGAAGCAGGCAAGTTCAGAGGTAAAAAGCTGTAGATCTGCTCACCTTCCCCAAGCCCCAGCCCTCTCCAGCATCTTCTGT